ACCTGCACCGAGTCCGATTACTCGGCAAATATTGCGCATTATTTCGTCCCGATGTTTTGTGAGAGATTACTCAACTTGCCGTGACGTGAAAAATATAAGTTCTGCCATCGGTGTGCAAAGTGATTCGCGCAGTTATCGTCCACTTGGTCTAACTTGCGAATACGTACAAATACGTAATTAATCTCTCGTGCCAAGGCAGACCCGCGAACGCAGCTTTTACGAATAAATATTTATCTCGCAAACTCCAATCGACCAATCGCAATCGTCTCCCAAGAACGAAACCCTCTTAGAAGTGACATGTGACAGTAGCAACCTGAGTTGCTAAGTGTATACTTAAACGTTACTTTTAACGTTACACCGATATGGATATAAATCATATTATTTGCATATAAAAGTGAAGGAAACAAGATAATTACCAAAAAAAGATGAAAAATTGATGTTACTAATGCATACAATTGTTTGTACAATTATTCTCATACATGAGTAGAGAGAGAGAGAGGAGGAGGGGGGAAAAGAGGAGAAAATACCGTGGAAGCTACAACCGAGTTTTCGCTATAAAGTTGAGATTCCTCGTCAAACTCGTGAATGACTTTGGCTTCTGGCGACTTGGTGCCAACAATTACAGGGTACGCGCAAGCGTTGTATTCCGCCTACAATGCGAAACGTATTTCAATGAGCGGGTGGCGATGGAATCTGTTTGGAATGGGGTGAGAGAGGAGGGGGTTGCTTGGGGATCGAGGTAGCGATGTTCGCGGTGGAATCGTCGACGCCGGGTATGAGGGCAGGGCGAGACGATCATTGAAATGGAAATGCCATTGACGCAAAGTGAAAGTAATTAACGGAATATGTCCGAGCTGTAGAGTGAATTCGATATCTGACGCCATTGTCGCCGCGGAGCGAGATACACGTATATCACGGGATGGTGGGCTAGGGAAGGGGTGTTCGGACTGTTTCTAAAGGATGCGAAATGGATGAGTATTGGAGGAAAGTCGGAAAGAAGGAACAGTGAAAATTGTATAGACCAAAACAAAATGTAAAAAAACGGGGAAGAAAGTTGGGGAAAAGCGGAGATAACGATACGAGAAGTAATAAAATAGCAAGTGGAAATTGTTCAATTATAATCAACGGAAATATTATAAGCGCACATAGATTTTGGATATATGGATAAATTTTATCCTTTATCCACACGATGTTTTTTGATACGTTCATTTAACAGTGACGTATTAAATTATGGCTAATATTTATAATATTTATAATATGAATAACAATAACACTAATAAATTATTCGATAACAAATAATTTGCACGCATTCACAGCAATTTACATCGTAAAACAAAAAATACAAGTTACATGTAATATTTGTTGCGAAAATAAGGAGTGTTGTGTAGAGAAATTTTCCAGAGATTAACATATGTACATATCCACGTAATAAAGGACGGGAGACCGGATATAGTGTACGGTAAACGGAAAGGATCACTCGAGAATCGTCGAGGAACGGTTGCCATCCAGGAAGAGAGAGAGAGAGAAAGAGAGAGACGGCGAATTTTCCTAGATTTAATTAATATTTCATTTGCATGCTATTTCTCGCCTTGTGCAGCTTCGTATCGCGCAACGCGCAAGGCGCGATCCTCGCCATCGCCATCGCCACGAAGAACCAACACTCGGACGCGAAGAGAGTACAGCCGCTGGGCGCTGCGTCCTTTATCTCGTACGCGTATACCTCGACACTGATGTGCACATACACGGACATACATATGATACACCTATACATAGAACTGAACGTTTATAACGGCGTGGAGAATGCGGCACGGGGTGGCGCGAGCTCGCGAAACAGCATGGTGCTCTCTGTATTTCAATTTAGCACGTCTATTGTTAGATACTAATATTATTCAGTTCGGAATTGTTTCGCGACGTCCCTCAGAGGAAGGAAGAGCGGAAGGGGGCCTCGATTTGTACGGGCGCGCGGCGTGGCGCGGCTCCCAGACTCTATTACTTCATTCTCTCTCTCTCCCTCTCTCTTTCTCTCTTCTCCCAACTGATTCTGTCGTACTTCGAACAAGATAACAAACAGCTGAGGAACGAGATAGATATTCTCGCTTTACATTGGGTCTGTTTTCTATTGCTGAACTGGCTGCACTAGTTCAGCAATAGAAAACAGACCCATTATCGCGATAAAAACGCGAAAACGGAATATGTTTTAATACCGAATTATATCGCTAATATCGCTTTATAACGTTTGTATAGTAAAAATAGATTGTTATGTTAGGTAAAGCTAATAATGGAAGAAACGTCGTAATATGAAGCGATTTTTGTATATATTATTCTGAATCGCAAAGTCGCAAAGAGAAAGTAACCGAGATATTTTATTAGAGTTACCTGGCAAAAAGACATCCGATCTCCGTTACTGGTGTCATCCTTCGTCCACATCAAGTCACATATATACACCGTATGTGCGAGCGTGCGTGCGTGTGCACATATATATATAAAAATCGGTGGTACCACCAAGACCAATCGTTCCTCGGGGCGAGCAAACACGGCGCCATGTTTGCCGACGTTCGGCAACACTTTATTCTCTCTTCCGCGCGCGACCCGAAGAGATGGCCCAAAAGATCTCTCTTCGATTGGCTTCCATGCACTCGTACGTATGTATATTTAAGCGAGCCGCGGTGTAGCCACAAAACATGTGTGTGGGTGCGCGTGTGCCCCTACGTAGGGTAGAAGAGAACTTGTCTCACAATCAGTTCCCATACAGGAACGGAGAAGAAGACGACGAGAAATAGCGAGCGAGAGAGCAAATATTGATGGAAGTCGAAAAAATGTTAAAAGCCATCTGACTCGTTATTCGGTTAGCTATATTCATCGACCAATAAAAAAAGGGGGGAAAAAAGAACGGGAAAGAAAAAGTAGTCATTGGAAGTAGAAGTTCTCATTGGAATTGTGTAACGTCGCGGTCGTCGTGTCGTTTCTCAACGAATCACATTAAACTCGCGGTAAAATTTTAAGTTAATGTTTTCGCATGTTTACGTAATTAAGTGATAAGCATCTCGATGTCATAATCGTTCGATTTAAATTGACAAGACATTCTTATTATCTGACATAAGCATTCTTAAATTGTATATACCTACACGGAAGCATTTCTGCCGCTCGCGGTACGCACGCGTTTAAGAAATTATAACAAAATTAATCACAGAATTGAAATAAAATCGAAACAAATCTTCATCAAACAAAACAGAGACAATTAGCGTTAAATTAATCGTGCAGATTTTAATTGTTTAATCTGGTTTAAAATTAATAACTAAAGACCGATTTTGAAAGCCGATCAGGCCGATATCAACACCAACACATAATTCGATCAACACAATCCCGGCACCTCGATCTTCCACCTCTCTGGAGAATCTTAAATTACTTTACCTCTATCATCCCCAGTGCTCCCCTTTTAGCAAGAATCGGATGGGTTTCCAGTTCTAACAACCCCTTTCACTCGATGGCTTAAAATTCCTCGGTGCAGACGCGAGACGCGAAGAAGAAAGGGGATTGTTGCACTCTGCTCTGACTGCGGATTAAACTCGGTCGCGGCAGAGGTGAAGGCAAGAAGGGAGAAGGGAGGAGGGTGCTATTATGCTCCATTATGGATGGTAACCAGTAGCCAAAGGAAGAAACTCAGCGGGGTGTCGATATATTGCCACCCCTGGAAAACTATAGGCGGCTATCCCTCGTAAATAATAACCGGAGCATTATAATGCCCGTATGCACTGCATGCACCGCGCACACGGGCACAAATTGCCGGGTATATAACGCCGGGCGCGTGTTCAGGCATCGACCTATCGGATATGCGCCTTGTAGAGGCCAGTCGATTATCGGTATTTCATCGATACCGTGTACCTAATTGTAAGTCTGTCGGTACACCCCACCGCGACGCGGCGTAATTGTACGTAAACGTAAGTATCTTTCACGGCGAGGAGAGAACGTACGTCTCTTCTATCACCAAAATCATTCAAGAGATATTAATTGAACAAGGCGATCGTTTATCGAGTGTTATATGCATTGGGGTCCCGAGTCTTCAGAATATATTTCATAATCTGCAAGTCTATTTCATTTGTAAAATGTATATATATGTATATATACGCGCAATTTGAGATGGAAATACGAAATCGCCCAGAAATATACCTCAATGTATAACAGAGACTTTTACTAGAAAGAGATATGCGCGGCGTATACAGAGTGTGGGAAAAATTTTGTAATTTACTTTTTAAGTTTTTACAACTCTGTATCTGCGTAAATTGAGCGGAAGAATTGACTGTTCGCATTGACTGAGATCGATTTATTGAAGAAGGGCAGCGCGATTTAAGATTGATCGACCATGAAACCGATTTCGAGAATACAACGGCGTCGCGTATCCCATTTCTTCACCTGCGAACGGTATTCGTCATCCGATACCTTTTCCTTTGGTTTGTCGAAAGATGCAGCAAAATTTTCATTCAGCCGGAAAACCGGTTTTCGTAAAATCAGTTGTCGTTCTTTTTATCTCACGTATCTGCAAAGAGAATCCGCGTGTCTCGTTTCTCCGTCACAACGAATTACGCTTAGGTTTACGTCGCAGGCAGATTCGTGGAAAATCGCGACATCTCGTTCGTAGGGCGGATTATGAAACCCGCCCTAGAGAAATGTTATTAAGAATTAATAATAATTTATGTAAAAATGAATTTATGGTGAATAATCACGCACATATATATATATAAATTATTAATTGTATTACAAGAAATAAAATTGCTGAAAAATTCAACATTACATCCAAATCAATGATAGATATTAATGAGAATTGAAGTAAAAGTTAGATTATCTTTTAAAGATATTTCGATATGCAAACTAGCCACTTATTTTTTAATTGTAAATTACGATATCAAAATTTTTATGAAGATATAATTTAACGGAGGAGGTACGGTTAAGTGGATTGACGTGTATATAGAGTATCAATATCTTATTTATTGTATGTATTTGCGATCTATACACTTTTCTTCGAGTAATATATTATTTGGTAACTACGGTAGGTGATGTTTCCAGTCGCTAATAGCGGCCAATCTAGATATTTTGCAGGCGTTATACTTACAGGCAATATTTGTTGTGTGTGTGTGTGTTTGTGTGTGTGTGTGTGTGTGTGCGCGCGCGCGCGCATGCGTGCGTGCGACTGTGTGTGTACACATATATATGTATATACACACGTGTGTGTACGCGCGTCTAACACGTTTAATATAGTCCGGCAAAAATTTCGAGATTAATGTCATTAGCTATATAGCATCGTATTTACAGATTCACCTTCTTCTTGTCTGGCCGATATACTCGTCAAACTTGTTACCTACACACGTATCTATCTATATAGTTTTTATCTACACATGTATAAAGTATATTCTGAAAACGTATCAGCCGTGAATTGAATTATCTTTTGGCGCTTCTTATCTTTCTCTCTTCGTACTTTTGTACGAAGTGTTGTGTCACACAGCGAAATTCATCATTCACGATTTAAAGTCGGCAGATAATTAACGCAGACATTTGATTAAGCGTTCGTGTCTCAGCTTTCGCACGAGAGATGCACACAATTGTATAAATATTAAAACCAGATACTCTCGGATTGTCAGATACTCTCAAGCTTCAATATTTTGGCATTATCGAGACACTCTCAACGTCTTCCTTTGGAGATAACAATTTTTACCCCTTTATTGTCTAGTGGAACAGAGCTTCATTACGTCATTAGGTTTTCAACCTGCCTACAGATGCCGATAACAAGTAGATTCGACTCTTTCATAGAATCTCTCTCTTTTTAGGATAATATTTTATCAGTTTCTTGTGGAATGGAGCAGTTTCCTTTTCAGAACAGATCTTTTCCATGGCATATCTCGTTAATCATCGAAATTGTACTTGTATTGATAAGAATAGCTTCATAGTTATTAAATTTATCCGCCACATCCAGTCTAAAGATAATTTAGAAACAAATAAGAAAATTGAGAAAGGATCTTTCTCGCTCGGTGGATATATTTATCAGGGTATCTTCGTTAAAAGATTTCGCTTAATCTGCGCGTATTTCGAAACCAAATTGTGTAAATAACACTCTCAGAAGATTCAAAGTCATCAACGAGGAGATTCTCAAGAGATGTGATACGCTAATGAAGGATTACATTGAGTAACCGGTGATCAAAAAATTGGTTTCTCGGTAGAGAGATTGTCGATTATACCACACGGTATATAATTTTCGATCGAGCGATCGATCTTGTTCAAAGTTTAATGACGTTGCACTGTTGCATCCTCGGTTAGAATTTCTAATAATTCTTGGATATAGTTTCGAACAGCTTTGAACAGCTAATCACGCCTCAAGAATAATTTCACTTTGCGCACCTATTATTCGGCGCGAGCGAAGGATGCACGAACGAAATAGTCCATTAGGGGACTATCGAGGAATACGACCAGGCGACGGCATAATTTTCGTCAGGTCACTCGGAGTAACTGGTCTTATCGCTGGCATCGTCGGGGCTGGTCTCCCGATAGGCGTCGCCAGTACCATTGGCATGCAGACTCTGGTTGGGTGGTTTGATGACGGTGGGCAGGTAACCGGTACCGGTGTAAGGCGCGGCCAGGAATCGGTGCCGCGTCGACGGTATCGGGGTGGTGCAGTACGCGGCGCGGCTCGCGTAAGCCGCGGCGGAGACGGACGCGGCGGACGCCACGGCGGCCGATGCCAGGGCGCCCGCCAGCGGCGAGAACGCCGACTTGGGCTGCAGACTATCCTCGCAGATCAGCACCTCCATGGCGGATACCACGTCGCCTGCGACACATAGGCAAATTCTCTTTCGTCTTTCTCTTTTTGGCAGAGCGTGTGCCCTCGGCTATGTGTGTATGATTTACGAGAACACTATCGAGATATATGTAAATATATATATACAACAACGATGAAACGATAATATCATTGTGAAGAGAAGAGAAATCCGGTAGAGGAGACGTTAGCGCCTTGCAATTTATCCAGATAGAAAATTTGCAATGCAATCACACTTGTGCCGACATAATTTTGATGACATAATTTTGTAAAAGATGCAGTCCATCAAATGATAAAGTGAGAATGAATATAACGAATACCACATCACCTTGCAAACGAATAATAATTGGAGAACGACATAAATGATTGGAAGATAATTTTTTTGGTGCAAACGTACGCACTTTTTCGCAACCAAATCGCGAGATCAAATCAACTCCTCGTATCAACTCCTTTCAAATAACCAAGTTATATTCTCTCGACTATTTAAACACAAATCAAATTTAAAGAATTTTTAATTGATTAAATAACAATACTATCGATATCATAACGTTTTCGAAACAAATTTTGTCTCGTGTATGATTAATTTTACAAAATTCCTCAAGAAAAATTACGAAATTTTACCTTTGCAACGATGGAGAAGAGCTTCGACATCGGCGCGACGTCTTCCAGGAAACACACGCAACAGAACGTCCACCGGTGAGCGTTGTTGTTGTTGCTGCTGCTGCTGTTGCTGTTGCTGCAACTGCAGCCCGCAAGTTTGCTGGATATTCTGCATTTGCATCTGCATCTGAATCTCCCGCGGCTCGGGCATGTGGTGATGGTGCTGGTGCTGATAGAGTGCCGGCGAGCAATACGCTAGCGAGCTAGCGCCGACCGTCGGCCCGTACAGAGGCGCATAAGGAGGGAAGTGCACCGTTGTCGCGGCCTGTAATCAAACATATTTCTCGTTTGAGAATTATCGCCCGTATGCAGTAACGGCTTATCATTTCGCTTATCTTCAAATAAGCTTCTTTTCTCCTTTCTTTGATATTATTGCGCCGCGGCGCAAGTAAATGTATCGCGCATTTTTTCTAACGAAGAGAATCTTATATTTATTGCAATATTTTTATAGGCAATCCATATATACATATATAATTTATATATTTTGCCTTCAGAGTATCACTTTCAATTGTAAGCTATGTTTTATTAAAGCTATAAAGAGAAATATGTTTTCAAATTATAAAGATAATTTCTTTTTATGTAAAAAACATTTTTGGCTCTATAATCATATAATCGCATAGCATGTCAATTTTATTCTACAATATCGATATTTATATTAACAGAATGTACAAAAAACAATATCAGTAATAGAAAAGAGAGAGAGAAATACATGTTATAAAAAACTATAACGATATTAAAGATATACTTGAGTGTCAAAATGTTACATAATTCTCACTTTGCCAATTACGACACACCCCATCGTTTATCGTTTTCCTATATTTCATTAGATCTAAAATTTGAAATGGTAAAACTCACAGCTAATGGGGGTAGTGGGGGGCTAGGCCTAGGTTGAACCAGATCCACCGGTTGCAAAGTCTGTTGCGTCTGCGGAGGACTACCACTCTTCCGTAGGCTGAGGTTTTCCGGCGCCGGAGTGTCCTCTCTTTGCGGTGTTAAGGCGGGTGTCAGCGGCGGAGTGTGCGTCGGACTTTGCGAGCCCGGTTCTGGACTGCCCTCCTCGGAATCGTTGAGGCTATTAGTGCGCTTTCTCGTCGTCGTTTCAGATTCCGGTATTCCCGACGCCGTCGACACCACTGTAACGTTTGCCACTTCATCGGGAAACTTTATATGAGGAATTCAACGGCTCGGTCGACTCGAGCAATCGTAATACTCGAGTTAATCGCAACTCTTACAATTAGTAAATGTTCGAGTAAAAGTAGAGCAGTTAAGGAGTTTATCAAGTATCATATATGTTAAATATTAAGATTCTGATACACTTGCGTGATAAAAAGTTTAAGATTTTATTGCAATTGTTATCATGTTACTACATGTAACATGCCTTGCTTATTGTATATAACATGTAAATCTCTGCGAGTAAAAAAGGTAATTTTATATCTATTCATGTTCATTCTCGAGCTTCTTTTATAAGTTGGCCGGGTCAATGACTTGACTTCTCTTTGTCGTTCAAGTTCTGACCATCATTTCTGTTTCGATCATTAGCCAAAATTTCATTTGGATTTCCTCACGAAAAATTACATTAATTTTAGACCAATCAATTTGGAAGTATTCATTCATTGCTCGCTGAAGAGCTGGAGAGATTATTTTGATTTACCTGCACTGTTACCACATCGTTGAGAATGGCTCAATGCAGAGCCGAAACGTCCGATTTATAATTACGTAGATACCTTATTAGTATTTAAAGATTGTTATAACGTACGTTATCTCACGCCCTTTTAACCACGTTTTACTCTCAAAGCCCACCTTTTACTTTTCTTGTTAATTTTATATTTGTACTTTTACAAGAACCTTCGCATTAAGGAAAAGATATAAAAATAAAAGAAAAAAAGATAACGGTTTTACCTAGTGAACGATCGGCTCGCAATTCGCCACCGGAATCGGAATCACGATCGTCCTCGTTGCTTGGATCGCTGGTTGACAAGATTGTCGTGTTCTCAGAGATCCTAGGTCGCTTCAAGCCTGAAATGGAACAGGAATGCTCTCTTCTTGGAATGCTTCAGCGAAATAATAGGAAAAATCGCGATTCTAATTGGTTTTTCCACAATCGAGACGTGCGATTTGTTGGAAATATAATTGAGGAAAATGTACACACACACACACACACACACAGATAACATATACACACAACGCACACGTGCGCACAAGTCAGAGGCAATACTAAATATCTTTGGCAATACTATAGCTGGATAAAGCAGGATACAGACTTTTCGAGGGCGTTGTTACAACACGCGCGCGTATGCACGTGCACGACTATTGAGTTATTGAGGCGTTGGCAATGCGTGAAAGAATCCCGTTGGGTGGTTGATCGCGCTTAGGAGGTGAAAGTCTGACCGCTCGTTAAAAAGTTTAACCGTTCGTTTATTAGCAAGGGAGAGATTGATAGGCCGGGGAAATGTAGCCAGAGCGAATGGTATAGCAGGCTACGCGAACGGTTTCTACATTCACCCCCTTATTCTCTTAACCTACCCTCTTGTACTACGCATATACGAGCGCCCCTTTGCGTGCCCGTTTAAGCACGGGAGTCTTTATCGTGCTCTTAACCGCGAGTTCTCCATTTGGTAGATTATCCGCATTTTCTCGATTACGTGGATCGGTGAACACGCAACTTGTCGATCGACAGCAATTATTTAATTTTTTCTTCGATATATTTTTGTTTCATGTTAGACTTTTTCGCCCCCGAAAAAATTTTGATCTGAGCAATCGGTTAAAATTTTTTTTTCAGTAAATATAAATAACATTTTTGTTCCAATGGCAAATTTCTCCTCAGTTAGTTATATAAGTTTTGTCTAAAATTTGTAATTAATATTTACAATTTGCATTAACTGTAGCTAATTTCCCGTCATTCGATCGACTTGCCTCGACTGAAACTGAAAAACATCGAGAAAAAAACACACTCACACATCTGTACATATATCGAACGCAAATGAGTGACGTTCCTCGCAGGATGCCGAGGAAAATTCCGCAGCAGGATACAGCTATCTCCGCCTCCGGCGTGGCATCTAGATAATAACATTAATAATTGACATCCGAGGACGTCAAAGGAAAGGAATGCAATATCGAGAGCCCGCGTTAATGTAGCTGCTGGCGCACCGAGAAGACTCTTAAACCCTCAACGTGTCCTGGGGATACGTTTGTATAAGTGTTGCACACACCGATGTACACGCGTTTAGGCTCCGCTCCCGTAAAGAATCGCCGGTAATATCCACTGGTAGAAGCCGTTATTAAAATATCATTCTTTCAGGGACTACCCTCGGTATCAACCCCTCCGGCTTTCAACGTGCGTGCCACTCTCACACGATGTTGAAATTCCTATCCCTTTGTAACCTTCGTAAGGTTCTGCCGATAGCGTAACGAAGTGCATATCCGCCGGACTCTTGAGGGTGTCAAGTGTTGATGCTGCGTTTTTCGAATATACACAAGATGTTTCAAGGCGATGCCGTTCAAAAGCCATGGCTTTCATCGTGGCTCGTCGGAGTTCTTTTGAGTTCTCGTAAGCTACGTGAAATTGATCGGATATGTAGGACATAAGTAATTATATAAATAAATAAGAGAAATATCTTGCGAGAAACTTGTTTGACGGTGACACCTTAATTGTACGATATTTCCAAGTGGTCTGATCTCACAATCAGTTCACTTCCTAGTAGTCTGAGCGACGGATTACGAAAGTACCTGTCTAATCAATGACAAGTGAGAAAGGTGAGAAAAACGAGACCATTGTGAAACGTCGCCGCCCTTTGGACGGGACGGGAAGCAACGTGGTTCAATAGGGAACACAGTATCGCGAACAGGAATCTTTTTCTCCCCTCTTACTTCCTCATCTCCTTTATACTTGTCTTGTATTTCGAGAAGGGTGTGTGCGCAATTTATTGTAATCTCTCCTGTCCCGGGCACACACGAGAATGAGAGAGATCTAACTTCTCTTGGATATCTTCCGACGCGGGGCAACCGTATATACCCAGCGTGTATTTTGATACGCGAGAAAGTTAATAAAACTCGTTGCGTCGGAAAAGAGAAGCGCGCCGTACGTGGTACGTGGTACCAGCAAACCAGCTGCTGGATATCTGCTTGTCGACGATTATTCGGTGAAGAAACGTCGCTGTGATTTAAACTCACCCTTATTTACAAGCGGTAAGATGAGAAGAGAACGTCGAAAAAAAGAGAGAGAAGGAGACGGACCGATGGAATGGAAATTACCGATGACTAATCCACTCTATGTCGGCAACCAGACATTTTATAATTTATAACGTGTCGAATCGAATACAAACACACGCTATAGTAGTGGAACATTAAACTTTTTGAGAAAGTTACATTGTTTACATAATTACCGAGCAAATTACAAATTTAATTGTCTCATTCGCAGCAACACACGTTGAAACTTTATCTTCTTTATTTCAACGTTTCGAGCCTTTCATCTCGTCGATGAGATTTAAGCGCACTTGTCTCCATTAATCTACACTGAGAAAAAAAATTGGTCAATCCCAAGAAATATTTAGTCCGATACGTTCAACTCAACATTTTAGTTAGTTAACTAAACATTAGTTGAATTAATTAATTCTTGATTAAAGAAACTAAATAATCTGTTGAAACAACTAATATTTAGTTAACTAATTAAATGTTTAGTTGAACGTATCGGACTAAATATTTCTTGGGATTAACAATTTTTTTTCTCAGTGTAATAATTATTTATTAATCTATTAATGGAGATTTGAGGACTTGAGGACTATCCCTGCAATAAGTTACCGTAGCTTTCAACGTATAAAAGCGATCGCGTCACGATGTTCAATCACCGGTCGCGCACACCCGTCATAGACAGCTTCGTCACCCGCATGCATTCTTACCCCGCGTGGCTGCGTGGTAGCTCGGAAATGACGATTAATTAGACGTGTTTGACGATGTACGATAGTACGGATGTACGTACGATACGAGTGAAGCTCGCACGAATCTCTCTCTCTCTTGACCGACGATGACAAGACGCACTCGAAGCAGATACACGCGCGCACAACCAGCGCAACGGCGACGGCGGATGTTGTTGTAGGTCTACGCCCTAACCTGCGGCGGCATGGCGTATCAGCACACGGTGGAGACAGACGCGGACAATGGAATCATGCGAGGACAATACCGAATAATTTAGAATGGCACATAGATATCGGGAGAAGCTTCGGCCTACGACGGCGGCGGCGGCGGCGCATAATAGAGAATAGGAGTAATAGGACACAGCCTGCGGGGCAACTGTGCAGGACACGAAACATCCCTATAAATTAGGCTTAGGCGAAACGAGCCTAACCCCCCCCCTCCCCCCCCCCAGGAGGGCGCCCCTCGATAAAAATTTTCTTCCCCCCTACTTCTAGACAAGATTTAAGCCTACTGCGTAAGGACGCAAGGATGCTTGTTCTATTATCTATACGCGACGACTCTATTTTGGAGCGTTATCTCACAATCACACAGTCTGCGAAAAAAACCTGGATCGACCTGGGGCGTGTCGTATCTCGTCGTTATTTCCTTACTCCGATATGGAGAAAGGAAGTTAGCGTGAAGTCAGTGTGAAAAAAATTGGAATATAATCATCTCTGGAAATTTACTTAATTTACCCGATTTTGTAACAAATTGTCGTTGAAAAGTATCGATTCGGTTTCTTTTATAGATAAATTTAGACTTGTGGTTGGTATTTTCAGTAATCGTGCCATTTTCCCGAATGCTTTGACAGTTAATCTTCTAGCACCACGAATTTTACATTCGCCAATTCTGAATCTCGAGATTACGCCGATTACGCGAGGGAGATGATGGAGGCTATGAATTATCAGTTCCTATTGTTCGTAAACTCGTAAAGTAACTGGAGGGTGTACGCGAAACTCGGAAACGCTTTCTCTTTCTTTGGCCGCACGTGCGATTGATAAACGGCTTTTGTACATGATGTTCATTTCGGGAAGCTATTAAATTACAGCTGTGTGAAAGTAATTTACGCGGAAAGTTTTCCTACTGTAATTCGACATTAGTTTTTATGATTCGATGATTTAATTTTAATAGATACTTATTATTAGGTAATGCATACGATGCATTAAAATCTATAATATGTGTATACGTGTATAATATGCGTGAAAAGAGAGCAAGAGCGTGCAGCAATAGCAGCAGCAGTTTGTCGGCTCGAGCTTCGAGCTTCGAAACGGAATCCAAGCAATGAGAAAAGACTCTCATTATTACGTATCGATACGCCCGAAAAATAGCAGCGCTCAATTTGTCGCGCAGAAATGACCCGGCCGATTCAAGGCCCGCGCCGGCGCGAGAGCTCGAAGAAAAAGCAAGTTCCTTATCAGATACGAAAATGGAGAGAGAGAAGGAAAGATGGAAAGAGAGGGAAAGCAGGAACGAAACGTGCGGGGGAGAAAGAGCTCTTCAGCCTGTACAGCAGCAACAGCGAGCAACAGCCCGATCAGTCATTAAATCGTCGCGATTCCCTTTTATTTTCAAGCCCTCTCTCTCTCTCTCTACGTATGTGCATGCGCGTGAGAGTACTGCTTTACAACGTTCATGTGTTTCGTTGTGAAAGGGGTGAATACGGCCGCGAGATGGTTGTGTGTACCTCGGGATATATGATGGATAGGGTGAGAGCCGAGGGAGAGAGAAAAAGTATAAAAGGGTAGGAGGCGGGGAAAAAATGAAAGAGAGAAAGAGAGAGAGAGAGAAGAAGAAGAAGAGAACGTGTTGGAGAGCGATCGGGCGTAACGTTTTTAATTGTTTCGCGCCCAGTCGCCTTTTGTTTTGGCGTTTATGCCTCGTAAACGTTTACCAAGCACGCTCTCCGAGGACTCCGAGCGTGGTAGTAGGCTTCCTCGGGAGAGAGTGGGCGCGATTCGCCCTCCCTTCCCATTCTGTCGTTTCCATTTCCAGTAGGGGTTCCTTCGAGAGAGCTCGTCCTTCCGCACCGCGTCTCGCTTCTACTTTCCGAGGAATATAACGTGATCGTTAGTTTTTTCTTTCTGCCCGCCGCGCCGCGCGT